AGGTAGGGACGTTTTGCACAATAACTTTGAAAGGTAGGGACCTTTTATGCTAATTACCTTTTTGATTTAACGGAGCATTTTAATGGAGAGTTGACAGAAGGACGTTTTTCGCAAAAAAATGTAAAGGTAGGGGTGTAATCCACCAAAAAATGAAAGGTATGGATGTTTTCCACAAAAACATCGAAAGGTAGGGATGTTTTGTGCTAATTACCCATCTCAAAACATGCCATCATTTTTCAGTAAGCATGTATGGAAAATTTCACGTCAATTACAAGTGAAAAAAATGGGTAATTGGCACAAAACGTCCCTATCTTTCAAGTTTATTGTGAAAAATGTCTCTACCTTTCATTTTTTGGCATTTTTGCCCTCATTTCAACCTTTCTTTGCGCTGGACGTCCTTCCGTCCATATTCCGTCAGTTTTTCCGTTAATTAAAGGGTAATTGGCACAAAACGTCCCTACCTTTCAAGTCTATTGTGGAAAACGTCCCTACCTTTCATTTTTTGGCATTTTTGCCCTCATTTCAACCTTTTTTGCGCTGGACGTCCTTCCGTCCATATTCCGTCAGTTTTTTCGTTAATTAAATACAAAAATACATTTTTCTTTCTATAAACAGGGTAAAATTGTCTTCACCCACTTCACCCCTTTTTCCCGCCATCAACTTAGTCCATAAGTAACAGTAGCAACAACATGAATCTGAAAATACTTTAAATGATTAATTAAATAAAGAAAAAATATTGTGAACACATTATATTTCACAATTCCGCAACTACTGTTGCTGTCATCTTGTGTCACTGAAAAATTTTAGAAAGACATATTAAATGGGTAGTCAATTTATAATGAGCCAAAATGGTGAATGGCTCTTTTTGGCTCAATGGAGAAGATGAATGGCTCATTTTAAATTGACTCATTATAAATTGACTACCCATTTAATATGTCTTTCTAAATTTTTCCAGTGACACAAGATGACAGCAACAGTAGTTGTGGAATTGTGAAATATAATGTGTTCACGATATTTTTTCTTTATTTAACTTAATCATTTAAAGTATTTTCAGATTCATGTTGCTGCAACTGTTACTTATGGACTAAGTTGATGGCAGGAAAAAGAGGTGAAGTGGGTGAAGACAATTTTACCCTTGTTTATGGAAAGAAAAAGATATTTTTTTATTTAATTAACGGAAAAACTGACGGAATATGGACGGAAGGACGTTCAGCGCAAAGAAAGGTTGAAATGAGGGCAAAAATGCCAAAAAATGAAAGGTATGGACGTTTTCCACAATAGACTTGAAAGGCAGGGACGTTTTGTTCCAATTACCCTGAAAAAAATCAATGCACTTAGAACCTTTAAATATGAAACCACAATAACGAGACATATACATGTCTGGTATAATTGTATTTTAGATTTTTTTTATTTTTTTTTTTTAATTCTTTTGGTTTTCGTAGGTAATATTTGCATAAATATTCCTGAGTATTGGTACACCCACTAATGTATTGGCTATGTTTGAGTCTCAATTTTTCAAAAGAACACATTTTTAAATAGTTATTTGACATCATTTTAATCACACATTTTTCAATAAAATAATATTATACGCAAATTCAAATTTTTTTTTTATTTTTTAACCACACATTTCCCATCCATACATTATTCAAAAATGCATTTTTAGGAATATTCCCCTGTTTGCAACTCATTAAATTATATTTCATTTTTTTCTCTTATTTTCAACCACACAATCTTTCATAAAATAATATTATACGTAAATAAAAAAAATTCTTCTTTTTCAATCACTTATTTTTCAAAAAAAAAAAATACTATTTCACTCATATTAATTTTTAAAAAATGGGGGCAAACAGGGGGCTATAATGCAGCTCAAACAAGGGGATATACATGAAAATGGCCCAAATAGTATATAACCTTTTCCAAAATGACCTTTGACTTTTTTAGAAATTTGAAACTACCCAAAATATCCTTGGAAAAATTTAACAACCAACCATTTATATAATAAAAAGTTTCTTTTTTAGTCCTTAAAAAATCTAACAAATAATTTTTCTAAAAATTTGTAAAAATTATCAATGAATAATTATAAAATGGAAAAGCCCAAATATAAGAGAGGACCATATAATATAAAAAAGGTTGTTAAAAATAAAAAAGAAATTAAATTTGAAAAAGAAATTGATAAGATAGGATATCAAGAACAATTATATGCATCACAAGAAATATTAAAATGTTTTAAAGAAAACTTATTAGAAAATTTCGCTAAAGGAATTGTAAGGTCAATAATTATAAAAGATATACAAGATATAATAGATAAATTGGAAAAAAGAAAGAAAAGTATCTCAAAATATGAAATACCTTTTGGAACAGACATAGATATGATAACAGATATTGATATTATAAATTCTCAAACATTATTAGACTTTGAAGAATTACTTAAAAATTTATGAGATTAAAATTTTGATATTTTGATTATTAGATTATTAGATTTTTGTTCGCTCATAGTAGCACCCATAAAGTTGGTATCAAAGCCATAGAGATCATGGAAATCTTAAAAATAAATAATTATTATCAATGTATTGAAGAAAAAGGATGTTATATATTTTACAACCCTATCCCTAATAAACTAAAAATAATAACATTATATATAACTAGGAATTTACCTAGAGAAATAAAGGAACAAATATTACATAAATTAATTGTAGGATTTATCAAAGATAGACGTACATATGAAATAATTTGTGAAATATTTGAAAATGAGTTGTATTATAAAGAAATATATTTATTTAATTTCTTTATTTTTAAACCACATTCTCCTAAAAATACTTTTCAAAACTCATTTTTTTCATAATTAATGAGAATCAAACAAGCACTACCCATAATCCTACACATCGCGTTACATTGTATTATTCTGGATCTAGCAACACTGAATCATTCTGCAACTTAGAACCCCCTCTCGGATGAAAATTGGATATGCAGGAGAAGGCTAAAATGCTGAGGTCAGATTCCATATGCAGCATTGACTCCAATTGGCCAGCACAACGAATAAGATTTTAACTTATTTTTCTTAAATATAGTCCAATGCTATCTAATCCCATCTATCAAACACGTAAGAGTGCCCAGTGGGTTCTCAAGATGCATACGACATTCAATTGATGTTCAGAGAACAAGATTTATAATAATCGAACAAGCATGAAAATAACATACAAATTTCAATTTAGTAACCTACAATATGATACCATTGGCGATCGTTATATTGTGCCACTCAAAAAAGAGAGATCATATTGTGTGCTTCAACGTGTTGACATTAGAACTGCAGAATAAAAGCGTGTTGATACGGACGTTATGCCTTCCCTTTTCCAGCCTGGAGAGACTGAATTCTTTGTTGTACCTTATAAATCTGCATAGGCAAAAACATAAATGGAAATATGGCGATTAAATATTACAAGAAACGGGTTTTGTATCTATAGCAAAATAAGTAAGAAATAACCGCATGAAAAGAATGCTAAACTACTTTAAGCTAACTTTCTGATTGCGGGAAACGGGAGAATGATATCTTTTAACCTTTTCCATTATTGCATAAAATCTGATGTAAAAGTTACGAACAAAAAATGTTAACTGTACAAAGAACCAACAAAAATGGGGGGAAAAAAAGCGATAAAAGCAAATGCAGTAAATGAGAGTTCAAAGAAAAAAAGAACAAGTGATATAATTACGTATTAATAATTAAAGTGTCATTAGTCACATAACAAATTGGTGTGAGCCCTCCAACATGGGCGTAACGTGCCTCACTAATTTCTTCTGATACCTACATAATGCGGGCATTTTATAACTTTCCATGCCATTGAGCTATGTATGTATTATCCTCCTAGAAGATTACAATAAGAGTCCATTTGATTAGAGTGAATTCCATGGAAAACGTCACATCCGACGAATTCATTTTCTACTTTGACTATTTGATGCGAAAGTGGAAATGGAGTTCAAATTCCAAGGTACAAACACTTAAAGCATATTTTTGGCCAATTCCATGGAAAATGCATTCCTATGTTTTTTGTGGTTTTTTCTTTTCCAATTTAAATGGAATTGATTTGTCTTTCTCATCTTTGCAATCAAATGGACCCTAATACTAATCTATGCATTTCCTCTCCCTCCCTCCCCACTCCAACAACACTCTATATCTAACGGTAAACATACTCTTCTACTCACAACCATAGAACCACCAGCCACCGAACATGATATATCGATTAGATCAATAGGAATTATAAAAGTCATATTCAAGTCATTTTACTGTACTTTTCCTTCTGTCTTCCCTACCCTAGCAAAATCTTCTCACGTGTAAAGCTCTTTCCATATTGAAGTTCTTTTCAAGAAGTAAATCCACTGGTAACTAACATGATTGAGTATTTCAATTTTTAGATCGTTGCATTAGCATCATTACAATCTCATTATAACAACAAAGCATCATCTTCATAGTCACCATTGTAAGATAGTAAACAAAGGATTACTTGTGAAAAAGTTAATTTGACTCATTACAAATAACATTAGCCAAACATGCTGCAAGTGTTAAAAAAACTCAAATATGAGGGAAGAAACATATGATAAAAATGGACAGATACCAACCGCTTCTTTCTTGCTGTTTTGCTTTTCTTCTAAATCTTGAAGTGTTGCATCCAAACGCTTCCTGGTGCACAAGATCAGACATTTAAAGCCAGTGAGAATTGTAGAAGAAATAACAATAATGAGTTTGAAAGAACAAAATGGCATTAAATATACTCAACAATTCCATTACACATGGTAGCAATGGATATCTATCTATCTGCATGAAACCATTTGAACTATTTACAATTAACATGGTTTAACTTTTAACAGTTTACACCCAGTGGGATGAATGCATCAATGAACAATAATATAAAATTACAAAACATTTTTTAACAAAAAATGAAAATTTTTATTGGAGAAAAGAAGGTACAAAAGGAAAGAACATATAAACTTCCAGCTACTTCGAGAGTAACAAGAGCCATCTCATAAAAAGTTTTTATAGATTTTGCCAATAATGACACAAAAGAGAGCTCTCCCCATCTCACAGTAAGCGAAGACACAAGACTCTTTGGTAATGTGCTTTGCTGAGAATTATTTGGCACTGACCGCAAGAGCAAGGGAAAAAAAGTACAGAGAAAAATGCAAGGAGAAGGGGAAAAAAGTACACGGTGGAGAGGCCATTGAAACTCTTCAGACATAGCCTTGACAAGCCCCATGATATGATAAGCATTTGAATATGATTCTTCAAATGTTTAAGAGAAGTTGCAACTGTAGATATTAATGATAACAGACGAGAAGATCATCAGACCTTGAGGCATACAGTTCCATGTTTATGTGTCAGGTGTGGAGGTGTTATATTGGTTTCAATTCTACACAAAAACTTGACCCTGATGTCTGGAACAGCATCATTGGTTTCTTTAAAGATTAAAAAAAAAAAAATTTTAAATAAAATCACTAATGGACCAAAAAGATATAATTGGACCATACTGACACCGATTTCCCACCCAATGCTTGCTACACGAGATTAGGATTTCGAAATTAGACTTCATAAAAATATGGTTTCACGCCTGAATGATTTTATGCCAGTTCCAATCACGAACTATGCTTCCATACAAACAAGCATGAAATAGATAATAATTGCAACTATATTAAATTTAATAAAACAGCATTTATCAAGTGTCACACACACACTCCACGAAATACATAAGGTGTTTCAGATATGACATATGAGCTCAACCAGAGTAAATAGGTCAGGCATACTGAAATGCCAAGTCTGCCAAAGATTAAATTAAATTAACAAAAAGCCACAAGTAAACACCAACCAAATTAGCTAAGAGGAAAGGACATACAATTCCGCAGAGATGTAATCTATTCGCTTGCGAACATTGGCATTAGCTTCTGCCAAGTCCTGTTTGACTAGCACTGGTCCGATTAACTTGTAAACGTTTGCATCATCATTCAACAGATCCAGTTCCTTCAAACACAAGCCCCAAATATACTATATAAATAAATTAAACCAATAAATCAAATCACACATATAGAAAGCAGGCAAGGGAGGACCTTTAGAACGAGCTCGTTTTCTCCAAGCTGAATAGTATACTTCTTTCGGACTTGGTGGTTCTTTGCAATATCTGCACAAATTGTCTACATACATAAAAATTAAAAATTAAAAAAAAAAATCACTAACACACACACAGCAGTGTACAGTGCGTGTTAGGGTTTCTTGAAGTGATGGGAGAGTGAGGGAAAACTATACCCTTTTGAAGTTTGGTCAGATCGTTGGCTTTGTTCTCAAGGTCTCTCTGTAGTTCTTTAAGGGCCGCTGTAGAACCCATCGCTGCGGTCTTCTTCGACGCCGGTTCCCCAGAATATGATTTCTCCGGGGAAAACTAAAATATATTGCATTCAATTTAGACCCCCTTTGGCCCATTAAAGCCCCCGTTTGGCCCCATTAGCTGAAAATGGGGATAGTATTTTTTAGGGTAATTAGCACAAAACATTCCTACTTTTCGATATTTTTGTGGAAAACATTCATACCTTTCATTTTTTGGTGGATTACACCCTTACCTTTACATTTTTTTGCGCAAAACGTCTTTCTGTCAACTCTCCGTTAAAATGCTCCGTTAAATCAAAAAGTTAATTAGCACAAAAGGTCCCTACCTTTCAAAGTTATTGTGAAAAACGTCCCTACTTTTTTTTTTTAGCATAATTAGCAGAAAAGGTCCCTACCTTTCAATATTATTGTGCAAAACGTCCCTACCTTTCATTTTTAGCATTTTCACCCTTACCTTTCACCTTTCATTGCAAAAAAAGGTCATTCTCATCCATTTTTTCAATAAAATGACGATTTTACCCTCCTATTCAAATAAAACAAAAAGAAAAGATGAATTACCAACTGCAACTATAATCCTTAAATTTTTAAAAAATTACAAAAAATCATAAATTCTCAACCACCACCATTTTCACAACCTATCAAGCTGCCAACTATAAATCCACATAATACCACCTTTCAGCCACCATGCCCACCGGACTCCACCACCGTAAATGTGATTGTTTCGGACAGATTGGTGACCAATACTATGGAGGAGGATATTGGGGAGAGTGAGGCGACGCTGGTGGTGGTAGAGTCCTATGTGTTGTGGTCGAAAAGTGGTGCTATATGGATCTATAGGTGGTGGCTTGGTGGGGTTGTGAAAGTGGCGGTAGTGGAGAATTTAGGATTTATCTGTAATGTTTTGAAAGATTTAGAACTATGATTGCAATTAATTAATTATTTTTTTCTTTTCTTTTTGTTTTATTTCAATAAAAGGGTAAAATCGTCATTTTATTGAAAAAAATGGATGAAAATGACCTTTTGCGCAATGAAAGGTGAAATGTAGGGGTAAAAATGCTAAAAATGAAAGGTAGGGACGTTTTGCACAATAATATTGAAAGGTAGGGACATTTTCTGCTAATTATGCTAAAAAATAAAAGGTAGTGACGTTTTGCACAATAACTTTGAAAGGTAGGGATCTTTTATGCTAATTACTTTTTTTATTTAACGAAGCATTTTAACGGAGAGTTGACAAAAGGACGTTTTGCGCAAAAAAATGTAAAGGTAAGGGTGTAATCAACCAAAAAATGAAAGGTAGGGACGTTTTCCACAAAAATATCGAAAGGTGGGGATGTTTTGTACTAATTACCCTATTTTTTAGAAAAATAAGTGGTTAAAAAAGAAAGAAAAATTTTCGATTTACATATAATATTATTTTATGAAAGAATGTGTAGTTGAAAATAAGAGAAAATAAAATAAAATGTAATATAATTGAATTTAATGGGATCAAACGGGGGCTATATTTCATTTTTATCCCTTCTATTATTTTTAAGTACACATTAAGCCCTTGTTTGAGTTATATTATTAGAATGAAAATGAATTTTTGAATAGTGTATTAATGAAAAATGTGTGGTTAAGAGATAAGAAAAAAATTTGAATTTGTGTGTAATATTATTTTAATAAAGAATGTGTGGTTGAGATAATATCAAATCACTGTTAAAAAATATATTTTTTTGAAAAAATGTAGCTCAAACAGGATCTAAAGAAAAAACTATTTTATCAATTTTCATTTCAAAAAATGAGCGAAAAAGAGGCTTAACAATTTGCCTTTGGAAAATTATTGTTGAAGTCCCCAATCTATTGATCATATGTCAATTAAGTTTCTGAACCTATTACTTTAGCGGCTGCAGTGCTCTAACAATTTCACCACATTTTTTATTAAAAACAAAGCCCATGTTTGCTGGATATAAAAATGACATTTTTCAGCAAATTATGATAAAAATTGATGAATAGTTGGAAAAATATGGATTCCATTAAATATATAGATAAAATTAATTATTGATTTTGTCTTATATTAAAATTTGAATTCTAAGAGAGGTTAAGTCTCTATTTCGGCTCATGTTTGACGAGGCTAAGTCACTATTTTAATTTCGTTTATTTCAAAACTCATTTTTAACCACACATTTTTCAAAGAAAATATTTTGTATGTAAATCTAAAATTTTTCATACTTTTTAATTATACATTTTCCAACTATTCATTGTTACAATTCTCATTTAGTTTTTTTTTTTTAATTCATTTTCAATCAAACATTTTTAAAATTAAAAAAAAAAATCACTTTTTTAATCTATTATAAGAAATGGAGCTCAAATAGGGATCGATTTCTTTTAGGGAAATTGATACTTTTCCTCCCCAACATGTTCAATTTATTTTGCATCTATCATCAACCATTTGTTAGCACAAAAACATCTTCAACCATTTCAAAAATACTGTAAAACTCACCCTCCAATCTATTTCGAACCTATTATTCTGATGGCTACCTTGCCTAACATCTTGCTTTGTAGTACTTGAGTACCCAATGAACAATTTTCACATTCTTTTCGATTGAAAGCTAAGGGTCTGTTCTTTTTATCGTTTTCGGACCGTTTTCTATTTTCGATTTTCCAAAACGGTGAAAACGCGTTCTCTTTCCCATTTTCAAAAACAAATTTTCGAATACAAAATAATAATAATAATAATAATAATTGTGAAGAAAACTGAAAACGTGAAAAATCACATTTTGAGCGTTTTCTTCACAAACACAGGCCAGTTTGAAAACGCGGAAAACGCCCTACCATTTTCCCCAAGTGTCTTCTACCAATTCAATGGAGCTGCCACTTTCCGACCCTCTAAACTCCGGCTAACCTCTTCCAAAACCACCGGATTTACATACCAATGTGAAGCCCTCATTCCCCTCTTCAATTTTCACACAAACAACAATCCAAACATAAACCAAAATCGATGAAAAACTATCCTCAAAAACTGATATGGAGCATACTGCTTCTGCCAGAATCTCCACCTCCGGCGACACCCAAGGTCGTGCACCACCACCGGTCGATTGCCCACCACAAACCGACCCCAACCATGGTTCCAATTTACCACAAACGACAATTCAAAAATCTGAATTAAACCCAAAAATATTGGCCCAGCAGGAAGCCTGCCAGCAGAATAGTAATGTCGCAGATTCCGGTGCCGTTCAGTCGACTCATGGTCGCGGACCATATGGGTTGAACTCCTCTTCACCTGGCGCACCTCATCCAGTCATGGGTCAAACCCAATTTTGCCCAAAACTCGATGAATTAATGTTGTAGATTCAAGCTCTTGTGCGAAAAATTTTGCCCAAGTTTGGCTCCGCAACTAGGGGGAGGTGAGGGGAAACGAGTGATATTGGGATCTAGTGCTCTAGGTGGTAGGTGTTGATCGGTTTGTGAGGTCGAAGATGGCGGTGTTGGCTGGGGAAGGGAAAATGAATGGAAAAGAAACGTGGTTTGGATTTTCATGTTTTAAGAAACATTTTTTCAAAACGAAAAAAAGAACGCGTTTTCAACAATTTCAAAACAGACACTCAAAACCCAAAACTCAAAATGAATTCAAAACTAAAAACTCAAACACGAAGAGAACAGCCCCTAAACCTCTATTTGACTCTTGTTCCTTAAAATTTAATTTATCTCAAATTCATTTTTAACCAAATATTTTTTAAAAAATAACTTTTTAATAAAAATTTACTTTGAAAAATAGAGCTCAAATAGGGAATAATTTCTTTGAGGAAAATCAATAATTTTCATAACCAATATTTGCAATTTGTTATTGATCTATTCTCAAATAGGAACTCGTAATGACTATATTTTTCATTCTCATTCTTATATTAATGTGACTCAAACGGGGCCTTAATAAACAAATAAAGGAATATTTGTAGCAGGGGACCTAAATCTTTTCAAAAATTACGAATTAGTCACAGATAAATACAATTGACAAAAAAAAAATTAGGAAAGGAAATAAAAAAAGTCTTGTTCCCCAATCTCCCTACTAAATCCAACCCATAATCCCCATCCACACTATACCACAAGCACCAAAAGTCATATTTTTCTGTAAAAAGATTGTAATAAAGTTACTGTGATTTTAAAATATTTCTTTACCAACTATTAAACTGATTTTCTCTCTTTAACACAAATAAAAAAATTTATAGATCACAATTTATTTATCGATCAAAAATAATAAATTTTATAAGTCGTAACTTAAATTTTTAAGTCACATATTATTTATTGATCACAAATTATTATTTATTTATCATTTGTTGGTCACAAATATCCAATTTATTAGTCATAATATCAAATAATTGGTCACATATTATTTATTGATAAAAAATTAACCAATTTATTGATTACAATAACTAAAAAAGTACTTTGCTATACATAGACTACAATGTACACTCCTCTCATAAGAAGATGCCCGAGCTTATTGGACGTGGATCACAAGGGAGGAGTGTGTAAATAGCATTGTTCACTAAATAATTAGTCTCGCTACACTTTTATATAACCCCAACCAAATATGGCCCCATCATCATCACCACCACCACCGTCTTCACCATGTCATACCACCACTATTAATCAAAAAATTCTCAAACCTACCATCACCGCCACCGCTACCAATCTACAACCATAGCCACCGTCACCCCCATCTCCATCACAGTTGTCACCACCGCCACCACAATCACCTGAGCCAAAAATCACCGATTCACACATCGTCACTACAACCTCTACCACCACACCAACAACAGTTCCCCATCTCTACCACACCACGGACAAAACCCCCATGAAAAATATCCCCAAATTCGCTGACACTATCTACAATCACCACCACCACAACAATCAACACAAGAAATATATGAGATAAAGCACCTCGTCGTGCAACTGCACCTCAACAAAAAAACTATAAAAACCATTACCTTAGCAACGTCTGGTTATTGCAATGCAAACCTCTAAAGCCACGATGCCACTATCCCCATCGTGGAATCTACTAATCTTTGTTCAGTGAGAGTGACGTAGCTCTAAAGCAAATGTGTGCGTCGCAGTGAAGCAACAATCGGCAAGAGCCTCGTCTCTCTAAATCGGCATCAAGCCGCTCATTGATTTAGAGCACTGTCATATGTGCTGCTGCTTCGTGCAAAGGCTTCAACTTAGATATAGAGGATAGAGAGAGGATTGGAAAGAGAAAATAAGAAGGTATAAAAAGGGATAAAAGAGAGATGGAGAAATTTAAGGTTTGGAAATGAAATTGGGTAGGTTAAGTGATGGTGGGGTGAATATGTATAATATTTTATTTTTAAAATAATATTATTAATATTTAAAATTTAAATTATCATCTGATTTTTGAAAAAAAAAATCTTAAATCTTATTTCTGAATTTAATAGTTTAAAACTAGGGTTGGATGTAATTTTCACATAGTAGAAATAAAAGACTTTTCCCCATAAGTTGAAACGCTATTATATGGGCTGGATGGACAGTAGAGATAAGGCCCAATCAATCTGGGCCTTAAAAACATTGGATTCTGAACAATAAATTAACTTTAGGGCTCAATTAACTCCGGCATATAAGCCCCCGTTTGATAGGGTACTTTTAAGTTTAGCCATGTCAAACAACTAATTTTCCACTTTAACCAAAAAATTTTGACATTCACCACAAAGGCCTATTCTTGTGTAAAGGACAAAAATACCCTTAAATGAGTTATACAATTACAAAAATAGAAATCTGTTAAAAAGACCAAAATATCCTTAAATTACAAATTAAAATCCAAACACCTCTCAATTGAGATTTGAAAACGAAGTCACTCTTTTCATCAATTTACTCTAACACGATAAAAACTCTTTCATTTTTCATCCACTTCAACATCAAAATTTCATAAATTTATCAGTTATCAACCTCAACAAAAATATTTCGTTAAATTTCAGCACTTTAATTCGGTAAGTATTTTTTCCTAGTATTTAATTTTATTTTTATTAAAGTCGTATATTTTTTTAAATGGCAGAGAAAATAATATTAGAACCGAAGTGAAGGCCGACACCGATCGCCGGAATGAATTATGGTTCGTTACGGACCATAGGGACCATTAAATGGTCCATAACGGACCACGACGTGGTCCGGAACGGACCAGAACATGGTTCATTGCGGACCACGTCATGGTCTGCAACGTCGTGGTCCGGAATCGAACCATTTGGTCGGACCGAACCCGAATTTTTTTTAAATTTTTTGAATTTTTTTAAATTTTTATGTTAAAAAATGTAATTAAATATGAAATAAATAATATGATGAAATATTTAAAGATAAATTAGAATTTTAATTTTTTTTCCTTTTTACTTAAATATATGTTTAGTAATTAAATATACGTTTCAAATAAATAATCGAAATAGAGTAATTAAATATGAAATATATAATATACATTTTAAGACAATTAAAATAATTAATTATTGAAACAATTAATATAATTAATTGAAAAAAGACTTAAATGAAAAATCGAATAAATATTATTTGATCATGGTTCCTCCCCCCCCGGGAAATCTGAACAATATTTTGCTGTTTTAACGACATTGGATTTCAAATCACCTGAAAAGATTATGATTTTCATTCAAATTCTTCTTATTGCGTACAAAAATGTTGAGTTTCGTTTTAATTGTACTGGTTCTTTTTTTGTCATTAAGTGTGTTCTATAGGGTAAAAAACTATGAAACACTTTCAAAACAACGAGTTTGAGTATGTTTTTTATGATTACTATGATGTTGCTGATAATTGTTTAATTCGTAATGCAGATATGGCAAAAGCATGTGTTCTAATCTGTTATTTCGACGAATTTCAAAGGAAAGAAAATGGTCGATGGAAATGGATGAGTGAAGGAGAAGGGGTTGCTGCTATTTTGATAACAAAAAATATATCGTTTACGAAAATGTACAATGAAATACAAAACATGCTTAACGTCGAATCTTTCAGTACGATATGGAATTGAGATTTTTATTTCAAAATCATTCAACAATTTTGATTCCACTTTTGAAAGTTACTTCTGATGTGCAAATAAAGCATGTAATTCAATTGAACTAGAGTCGAAAGACAACTCCTATTTGCGTAACTTTGTTGAAGAAAAATGTCCCCGATGGTGAACACGAAGTTTTCAATGGAGAGGATCGTAACGAGAATGATTTTTGGGATACTGTTGAGATTGCTCGTGATGATGATGTGGTTATTCCCGGGACATTTGCTACTCGTCATGATGTCACCGTTACACAAAGGATTTACGAGGAAGTTCAAGACAACGAGGATGAAAGGTCATTTACAAATCAGGATTTGATTGCTTTATCCAGATAGAGACACGAGTCTGGTGGGAGTTCACATGCTGAGCCGAGTGCACGGTCTTCTAATTGTTCGCGTGTAGTTCCTAATGATGAAGATTTACATGTCGATCAATTGTTTGACACGAAAAAGAAGTTTGCAAGAAGCTGTGCACCGAATTGCAATGAAACATAATTTTGAGTTTAAGGTAAAAAAAATCAAACAAGTCTACATACACAATTATTTGTGTGGACAACAATTGTAGTTGCGTCTGAGAGCGACAAAGATGGACACAAATAAGTTCTTTGTAGTTCACAAGTATGCGCAGGAACATACTTGTGAAGTGGGTATTCATCAAAATGATCACAGGCAAGCTCAATCATGATTTATTGGTCGACAGATAATGTACAAATATCATCAACAACATCCGTCGGAGTATGGGGTAGTTATGAGTTACCAGAAGGCCTGAAAGGCAAAAGAATGTGCATTGGAAGATTTAATGGGTTCGACGGAGGAGAGTTATGCCAAATTGGCCAAGTATTGCCACAACATGGTGAGAATTAATTCTGACTCTGCGTATTTTATTGAAACCGATAGGCAGAATCGCTTCAAGTATTTTTTATGGCTCTTGGACAATGCATTAGAGGTTTTCGAAATGCGATGCAACATCTAATTCTAGTTGATGGTACAGCCCTAAAAGCTAGATATGAAGGGAAATTGATTATTGCTACATTTCAAGACGCCAACATCCAAATTTACCCTCTGACATTTGGCATTGTCGATGGAGAGACTGATCTAGCAATGCGTTGGTTCTTCACTAAGCTAAGAGAAGTAATTGGGGACATCGAGAACCTTGCATTTGTGACTGACCGGGGGCAGTCAATAATAAATGGTATAGCCGAAGTTTTTCCAGAAGCACATCATAGTTATTGCATGTACCGGATTCAGGGCAACCTGAAGATTAGGTACCGGGGCAGTGGCATCATTGCATTGTTTAGGAGAGCTGCAGAAGCTTACAGTTTTGAAGAGTTTACGAAGTTCATGGGCGAAATAAAACATAAGTCAGAAAGTGTATGGGAATATCTATCAAATATGGGGGTCGAACATTGGGCAATATCACATTTTTCAGGACGTCGATACAACATGATGATGTCGAATAATGCGGAGTCGCTCAATGCATTATTCAAGAAGGATCGAGAGTTACCAATTCTCGCAATGATTGAACATATTCGTATCAAGTTGCAACAGTGGTTTTATGACCGACGTGAGGAATCCCAGAATTGCAAGAGTGTACTAGCTCCGGCACAGGAAGATCGACTATTCAAAACTCAAGAAGTGGCAAAAGCTTTATTTGTGGAACCACTAGATCAATTTCACTTCTTCGTGAGATACGGTCGTAATGTTGGATACATTGTAGACTTTAATGACAATACCTGCACGTGTAGACAATTTCAGTTGGAGAGTTTTCCATGTGTGCATGCTGTCGCAGTGGCTATGTATAGAGGATTTCAACCACACATCTTATGCAGTCATTATTATATGGCTGATTTTTGGAGAGCAGCATATGCCGAAACTATATTTCTTCTACCAAATGAAGTCGAGTGGGAAGTTCCTGATTATATTGTAACACTTAATAATTTGTTGTCACCTGAAGTTCCACCGCGTACTCCTGGTCATAGACGGACGTCTAGAATACAATCTACAGGAGAGTTTCCACAACGGTGTAAGTGCGAGAGGTGCGACGCTACAGGACATACACTTCGATTTTGTACAAGTCAGATCCCACTAAGCAATGACTCGATGGATGTGTAGTATCTATATAAATCATATGTATTCTCTATTTGTAATATATTTTTTATTTTCTCAATTTAAATCGGATGTAATTTTAATCACATTGTTTAATTACTCTTTCTAACAGTATATTTGAATAAAAAATAGGATTGATTTAAATATTGCGATTTCATAATTGATATATTGTAAAAGTTAAATATTTAATTGGTTATGTATAATTGGTTAAGTTTTTCTTTAATTAATTATATTAATTGGTTAAGTAAAAAATTAATTTTTCATATTTAATTACTTATTTCAATTATATTAACTGACAACGATATATATTAACTGACAAAATGGAGAGATTACAGAAACAACAACAATGTAAATTAAAATAATAATAGTTTGTTAATTATCTGAGTACGTATATTAATTATTTTATATTTAATTACTTATTTCGATTATTTATTTGAATAAAAATAAAAGCACTTACTTCTAGTTTGCGTTTAAGTATTTCTTTCATTAATTATCTTCATTTTGCACGTATATTTGATTATTTATATTCCTTTAAAAATTATATTTCGTTAATTATTTTAATGTGTATATTGTTTATTTAATATTTGATTATTATATTTCGTTTATTTATGTAAATTAAAATAATAATATTTTGTCTTTTTCTTTTAATACAAGTGAGTCAACGATATATATTAACTGACAATATGGAGAGATTACAGACAAAACAACAATGTAAATTAAAATAATAATATTTTGTTAATTATCTTAGTACGTATATTAATTATTTCATATTTAATTACTTATTTTTAATTATCGATTATTTATTTGAATAAGAATAATAGCACTTACTTCGAGTTTTCGTTTAAGTATTTCCGTAATTAAATATTTAAAAAAATTATTACATTACAACACGAATCATATTGAAGTAAACAATATATACATTTCAATAAAATAAAATACAATGCACTAAGGATCACAGTTATATTCATACAAGTCGCAAGCTAATTTATGCCTCCACATATCAATCCAAGATTGATTTATTGTTTCAACATTGCGACCAATGCTCAAAAACTCTATGTACTTTATTGCAAATAAATCACAGTCGCCCCTGCAACTGAAAAAGAATATATTAGTTCGATAACATATAACTAAAAATTAAATCTTAAAATTAATAAGTTTTGAATCCTTACAATCTTTCTTGTTTTGCCGTCATCATATTTCGCACAATGACTAATCTGTCATTTACTCGAATCATCGCATGACTAGCCATCATGAGCACGATCACAGCCATTGGCTCCAGTATTTGCTCCAGTTGACTTTGTGTCAGACAGCTATGATCAGAGTTGTACACATACATAGTGTAATTAGCAAATATGATCTCCACCGAAAAATAATGTGAGTTCACGATCACTGGAATGTACATATGTGTACAATCCGTCCGCGGCTTTCCGCACTTCAACTGTAGCCCAATCACCCACTCTAGCATGTACTCAGACAGAACATATTTATTTCCCTTGCCCAGGAGCTGGTGATGCTCAATATCTACGATACAAACAAACTCAGAGCTCAGGATAACTCGACTAGGGCTGTCATAAGATCTCGGGTATCTCTGAGCCCGATCGCGTAACAATTCCATAGCCAAGTCGATATGCCAAAACAAAAAAACACCAACAAAAAAGATAGAGTCGTTTAAGTAAATGAACCAACAACTTCTATAAATATAATAAATGGAAACTCAAAAAACTTACATCATCGGCGAGCCAATCTGAGGTCGTCAGTACATCTTCGAACCACTTTTAGCGTTGGATACGGTCATACAACCGATGGTATAACTATCTTTGAAAAATGAAAAAAAGTTACGAAAAATACAATAAAATACTTACTTGGATTTAAGAGATTTGAGCCAATCATCGAGCGCCTTCTGTCTGATCGGGTCGTCGTCGCGAAAAAGATTGGGGAACGTCCCATCCACAAACCCCCTTCTCTTCGCCTCGGCCGTGTATGGGGATATGATGTACTGTGACAGCAATCTCGATCTCTTACTGACTATCAGCTCTGACATGTCATTAGCACGCTTCTTACCCTTCGGCACCTCCGTCGCCCCCTCCGACACGAATACTACATCGTCATCCGTCATCTCTGGCATCCTCTTGTCCTCCGCAACCCTCTCATCCCCCTCTACTATCACCTCTGGTGTCCTCTCTGCTACCTTCTCGATCACCCCCTCCGGCACCCCTGTCCCTCCCTCCACCCCCTCTATCTCGACCTCCTCCGGCACTTCCACTCCGCCCATCCCGGCCTCCTCTGGCACCTCCGACCCGACCTCCACCCCCTCTCTCCTGGCCTCCAGCACTGAATCAAAAAACTCATTGAATCCTGCAGCGGTTGCCCACCAATCTCAAGGAACACTAGTCTCTCTGACATTCTCTCTAACAGAACCTCGAAAGCTTGCTACATCGCCTCAAAGTGCTACAACCTCAGTATGAAGGTCTCCTATATCTTGTCGTAACACTTCAATCTCATCTCGTAGTGCTACTACCTCTGTCGTAAAATCCCGTCGCAGCACCCCTATCTCCTCTCATAGTGATATTACCTCTGTCGAAAAATCAAGTCGCATCGTTCCCAGTTCCTCTCTAATAATATCAGTCATGCGTGCAAAGAAATCATCTGAATGACGGGTCTGATTGGGTACAGGTGATCCACGTGGAAGGTGGGTGGGTGCAGGAGACGGAGATCTCCTCGGAGAATGTGATAATGGCGGTAAAGGTGATCTCATCAGTGGAGGGGACGAAGATCTCCTACGTGGAAGTGCTCGTCGTTCTACTAGATAACGCTCCTACACAGAGAAGACAATTAATATTAATAATCCACACATGAATATTATAAGTCAGAATAAATAATGATCTTAAATAAACGTACCCTATTTCTATTTGGAACGGACTCAAACACTGGATCGTTTTCAGCACGTACATATATTTGATCCTCCTCTTACATCGAAACAACCAACTCAGCATAAATTTCGAGCTGACATATCATATTTCAACGTGTTAATGAGCATGTATCGAGCCGAGTTAACGTACGTACAATATAAATTACAAATATATAATACTCACCTGAGGATCGTCGAGGATAACTGTCAAATCTTTAGTCGATGACTTTTTCATATGCTCGCCAATGAAGCATTCGTGGGTAGCTGGTCTCCCTTCTGATCGCTCATTTGCTACCCAAAACAGGGATAGCTTCATATGCCCACAAATGCAACAATTACCAAAAAAATAAAAATAAAAAATTACTTATATATTTAATAAAAAAGTTTAGCACGCATTACGTTAAGCTGAATATTTACCTGCAAAGCCATGTAGAAGCCATATACATCATATTTGCGATCGCCCCTCTTCGATTTTGGTATATTATGTACCCTCCTGAATACGTAGAGAGTATCGGTGTAACATCTCCGACCCCATGGAAAGTTATTGAAAGCATCGATATCATCAACAACATCCAATAAAAAAAGGTCAATCGACGTCCTACGATGTCGACACCTCAATATACTCTCCAATATATACACCAATCCTAATTTCAACTTGTCTAACATGTGATCGCATCTCCAAAATGCGTCCTCTAACTGTGGTGGTGTAACCAGCCCTTTACCTCCAAAATATAAATCCAATAACCTTTTATTTGGTATAATACGGGCTCTCGCTTCTTATTTTTCAGTACATCTCAAGCCTGTAATGAGGGCAAATTCAAGGATCGAGAATCTCGATACCTTACCGTTTCCCATAGCAAAATAAAGCTGATCGTTATCGACTGGTTTAAGCAGCCGAAGTAATAAAGAATCAATAATCTGTCCGGAGAACTGCATGTCCTTCAACGGATAGAAGGACCATAAAAAGGTCGATGGAGTATGTCGATGTGCTTCTCATCCAGCCCCTCAATCAGTGTCGCATAGTTGGAAAAGTTACAATACGTCGTAACTTTTCCTAAATGAGCTCTCAAATTGTTGTCCATATGATATTCCATCCTACAAAAGTAATACATATTAAAACCATATACAAGAGATTATAAATAAAATATCGTATCTTCGAATTTAACCAATTAGATTTCACATTAATAGAGCAATAAATATATTCATCCAATCACATATTAAAACAGTTAAACAAAAAAATTCTCACATATTTGATTTTTTAAATATTTCGTTAATTACGCATATTATTCATTTCATATTTAATTATTCTATTTCGATCATTTTTTTGAATAAAAATAATAATATTTAATTCGATTCTTTATTTTACCATTTGCTTAATTAATTATCCTAATTGGTTAAGTAAGAAAATTATTATTCAATTTAATTTATTCTTTAAATATTTCGTTAATTATGTATATTATTCATTTTATATTTCATTATTCTATTTCGATTATTTATTTGAATAAAAATAATAATATTTTATTCGATTTTTCATTTTACTATTTCTTTAATAAATTATCTTAATTGGTTAAGTAAGAAAATTATTATTCAATTTAATTTATTCTTTAAATATTTCGTTAATTATGTATATTATTCATTTCATATTTAATTATTCTATTTCAATTATTTATTTGAATAAAAATAATAATATTTGATTCGATTCTTCATTTTACCATTTCTTTAATTAATTATCTTAATTGGTTAAATAAGAAATTTATTATTCAATTTAATTTATTTTTTAAATATTTCGTTAATTATGTATATTATTCATTTTATATTTCATTATTCTATTTCGATTATTTATTTGAATAAAAATAATAATATTTAATTCAAATTTTCATTTTACTATTTCTTTAATTAATTATCTTAATTCGATAAGTAAGAAAATTATTATGCAATTTAATTTATTATTTCAATATTTCGTTAATTATGCATATTATTCATTTCATATTTAATTATTCTATTTCAATTATTTATTTGAATACAAATAATAATATTTAATTCGATTTTTCATTTCACTATTTCTTTAATTAATTATTTTAATTGATTAAGTAAGAAAATTATCATCCAATTTAATTTATTCTTTAAATATTTCGTTAATTATGTATATTATTCATTTTATATTTCATTATTCTATTTCGATTATTTATTTGAATAAAAATAATAATATTTAATTCGATTTTTCATTTCACTATTTCTTTAATTAAT